TGAAAGAATTGGCATCTTCTGCTTTTGATATTGTTCACCTCGTCACAAATAACAGAAAACAACCCTCCTTTCTACGAAATGTTGCGGTTCCGCCGCGTAATAGCGAGGCAAAACTTAAAATATTCCCCGACCTGCAGCCGCGAGCGGCGGCCATGAGAAACACGTGGCATGACGTCAATGGGGAGTCTTGTAGAAAGATAGCAAGTTGTGCGAATACCTGCTCGATATAAGGTAACTTTTCTATAAATCTTGTCGTTCCAAGATAAATATAAATGCGTCAAAACCCTGGTATCATCGGCAAAACTTTTATTATACGCAGTTTTAGTGGCACCATCTATCCTAGGTCCACAAAACCGACAGCTCGATCTGCTACCGCGAACAGCCACCAGAAGCCGGAGGGGGGGACAGGGCCGGACGGGTATGGCCGGACCCGGATGAGACTTTCCTCCTTTCACCATTATTGTTCGCGCGGCGTTCGCCAGCCCGTGGTCACGCGGTCGCGAGCGGATGAGTTCTCGCTGCTCACTGATGGCTCTAAAGAGAGAACTTTACCGGAACCCCGCGCCTACCCCATCAACGTCACTGTGCACGTGACCCGGAAGACGACGTACGAGTTGAGAGGCGGCAAAAGCCTGGATCTTTTTCATTTTTTTAAAATAAAAAGTAGGGTATCCAGGCAAAATCTGTTTTCTGTAGTTCACTTCAGAAGTGTCAGGCATCAACTTTCACAATTATTTCAGCAAAGCCCCGAAATTGTTGCACAGCTCCTTTAAGGGCGTAGGCATGATGAGGTATTTAAATCAGAACTTCCGTTCACACGTCGGTGTGTCATAATGACTAGGTACTGTGATGTAACTTCAGTAATTCAACTTTGAAGCTTTTCCCTTTCTTTTAAAACCCGTTGTTCTCCTCGAGCTGAAGTGTAAATTTGTACGTTTAAATATGGTTGAGCATGCAACGCGCACTTCACCCAACAGAGTCTATAACGCGTGAATTTTCTTTTAAAATTGATTGAACCGCTTTCCAACACTTGAGTATATTTTTTTTTATAAACGGCAACGGACGCAATTGGCACAAAAATGAAACATGTGATCGAGATGGCGTAAGGGGAAGATGGATGTACAAAACAATATTTTTCATGGTGCGTGGTTAGTGGGTGGCTTCTGAAAACTGCTCTACATCGCAAAATTGTGGCATCTTGAAAGACGAGGCAATCTTGAAGATACGAAGAAAAGTGAGCTATATGTTGCATTTCAATCTGCAAGTGCTCAAATGGGTGGTCAGATTTTTGTATGTTATTTTCTCTTGCGGTGTTTCCTGAGTGCCTGCGTGAATAGGAGGGAAATGCTCTCCTTACTTAGCAGACTTTCGAAACATACTAGCTGCCGGGAAGTTGCGCAAGACGATCACTTTTCTCTGTGTCGTAGTTTCGTCCAATTTCGAACCGCGCTCTAGTGTAGAGGGATTCGGCTCGCGATTTTCGTTGTTATCCGACTGAGAGACGGAGGACTGGGCGATGCCGGTCTCTCACACTGAACGATAGCGCGTCTTTTGGACCTAACTTGAGACTAAACGAGGAGATATCTAGAAGCTCTTTAATTATTTAGCTAAATGCACATAGATGCTTTATGGGCCCTGTTATTAGGTTATGTACTCTCGCGCAGACTTGTACGTAATCCGTTACAAGTAACGAAATTACTTGTAATCCCTTACATTTATCGGTAATTTAGTAACGGAATAATTACATCTTTTCTAGAGTAATTTTAAAGTATTTCCCTTGCATTTTTTGCGTAACGGATTCGTTGTAATTCGTTACATTTTTTTCAGATCCAGCCCCCCCCCCCCCCCCCTTTCTAAAAAAACGGTCGTTTTCATTTTGGTAAAGTTGAGCGCAGTGACACTGTCACGCGCATTGACCAGAGCAAAGGGAGGTTTGGCACTCTTCGGTTCTGCAAAGCCTTTTTTTGCAACACCAAGCCCCCGAAATCATTTTATTTTTACACCCTAATAACAATGTAAAAAAATCCAAATAAACATTTCTACAAAAAAAAAAAATAAAAAAAGGGGGGGGGGACAAGTTATATCCGCTTTTTTTAGTGTCTTTTTTTTTTTTTTTCTTTGCGATCGAAGGCGGGGAGAGGAGGACACCAAGTGATTGTATGCCTCTTCGAGAAGCTCGAGGCGGTAAGTGCACAGACAAGGATTAACAATGTCCTTCTCGGTTATACCATTTTCATAATGTCACAATGTCACAACACGAGACAACGCTCCATCTTCTCTAAAATCTACTAAAAGGAATGTGATAATATGTGAAGGTGTTATTGCCATAAGCATCCTCGTTCGTTGCTGCACACTTTTCATGACGAAAATAATCCCTGGAGAAGGGGAACTTCTCTTAGAAAACAGGATGTATTTTTTTTTCTGCTTCTTTCACATTAATTGAACCTGTTTTGAAAGCTACTTACTTTTTTGCGCTCCAATTTCTAGGGTTGGCCCACTTTATTTATGAATTTCAGCCAGGTTATCCCCATCTCAGTCACCCTTTTTGTGAGTCAGCTTTTTGCGATCACTCCGAAAATAATAATTGTCTTCCTTTTTTTGTTTCGCTGTTTGTATTCCAGCACGACGGATCATATCTCAAGCAGAAATCTTTACAAAAAAAAAAAAAACAAAAAAAACATAATGGTGCCTGACGTAGACTTCAGATTCTGGGCTTGAGGAGAGAGTGAAAATCATGAGTGGGGCCATAGTGTGGCTCAGTTCTCTGCCCTTCGCTGCCCGTGGTATCAGCGAAAGTCTGTCTGGAAAAAGCCGGAGTAAACTGTAATCGGTCCGTGCTCCGTGCGCTTTTAAACGGCATCAAGAAAGGTACACACGGCAAACGTGCGTTTACATTTCCTTGTTTTAACCGACGTTCTGATTATTTTTTTTATAACTTATATTTATATATTAAAAACGTTTTCTTATTCACCAACGTGCCTGAGCCGAGGCTCGACCTGTTCAGAACCAAAGGAAGAAGAATATCGAGCCAAACCTTAAATATTATTTATCACCTTACTGGGGCCAACTCTACTAAAACTCTCGAATATCAGGCAAAGGCTGCAACAATGAAGCTTTTCCCTATCTTCGAGCTAAGTAATACTTTCATTGCTTCGCTGAAAAAGCTCAATGCAGAGCATAAAACATTCGTGAGGCAGAATATGGCACTCTCATCCAGTGCCTCAGTTCAAATGGTGCTCAGCGTAGCAGTCGACATCTTCAGTGAGAAATGACGCAAAATGTCTGACGAGACTTTCGAGAGCCAGCTGTTGCTCAAAATACTCAAGGTTAATAAATGGGGCGGGTGGCAACAGTAAGAACTTGAATAACCTTCTTCCTTATGTTTCTTAATTGAGGAAAATACTGCTGAAAGTAACGCCACGAAAGTAACGGATTACTTTTGGGAGTAACGGTCACTTACTTTTATGAGTAGGTAATTGTAATTGTAAAAAATTACAATTTAGCCTTGAGTAATTGTAAATTTAATTCCTTACAATTTTTCAGAAACGTGTACAAGTCTGCTCTCGCGCAACGACCGAAGCCGCGGAACGCTCCTATGTGGTATCTTTGCCGCATAGACCCCGGGAGCGGCAGGAAAGATAGAGTCGCGGGAGAGTGATATATTAAAAAACAAAATGTACTATGGTTATTCTTTTTTGTAAACCGTCTCTTGGAATATACATTTCCGAAAATATATGGCGTCCTCGTCTGCCTGACGCATTATGATGTTCCCATGTGCGGCCCGTGAGGAATCGAGGACGAAGTTGATGTTGGTTTAATATTTTGTGATTTCAGAGCGCAAGGAAGGCCGTATGAAAACAAAACCGAGTATGTGATGACCTCGTTTTGCGTTCGCTTTATTTTGTGTGCGTTCTGAGTTTCTAATAATACTAGAGAATGAATCGTGCCGCTTCCAGGATATAGGAAGCTTTCGAGTGAGCACAAGCGTACATCGGAACACCCCCACTATACCCCTCGCCGCGAGCACTCCTGGGATTTTCCGGAAAAGTATATAGACAACCTCAGCACCTCGTGCTGTGACGTTACGAGAAAAGCGAAACCACATACTCTACTGAAATCGCCGAGCGCAGGCTACCCTACGCGCCGATGAGGACAATCAAATAGTGCCAAAGCACGACGTCATGGCGTTGGTCGAATGTTATCACCGATGAAACCGGGTTTCTTCTAGCCTTGGACTGTGTTCTGAGTTGTGGTAAAACAAAGCATAGAAACGCTGCGTGATTCTTCAATCTAGAGTAATTGTCGGTTCTGCTGAGTCGTGATTTCACGAAACTCTGCATGTAATCCTGGTGTTTGAGGGAGGCGTCGGTCCGTTGATATAGAAGGTTCATTCACAAAAATGAGTTCAAAATAATCGGCTCAAAACAGGAGGTGAAGCGCGTAGTGCACAAAGCCTTCCAACCGCTCTAACGCACTGCGGTCCCAGTTTTTTGGGGACGCATAATCGTTCTGGGTGCCTCATGATTTTGCGTTCCAACAGCACGACTCGAAAAGCACACCGCAGTGGCACGGCCCCCCGTAACGTCAATCAAACGTATAATCGCCATTCCCTTGGCGCCATAAAATTAAAGCGAGCCCATGCATGCCGTCAGACATCGCGAACGTAGAGAAGCCGGAACTCCCCCGGAAGCCCGCATGGCGTCTGCCAGCGCAGTCGGCGTGCGCTCGCCCGCTCCTTCGGCTCCTCCGAGAGCATTGAACGCAACTTGGCGGGCCGGCGCTCCCTGCTCAAGCGCTTCTTCGCGTGCAGGCCCCCGAAAGCACTCGCGGGTGCCGGAACATGGCCATGGCCTGAACCCTGGGTGTCTGTACCTGTGCCATGAGCCATGGCGACGTTTTCCGGGCTCATCCCGAAATCCACGGGCGCCGCGCGGCTGCGCTGGCCCGCGCGAGATGGCGCCCCCGACCAGGAGTGCGCGTGCGCGGGCCCTCTCCTCCGCGCCGGCTGCCCTCGACGTCGCTCCTCGGCTGGGCGTCCGTCTGTGCCGCCATGGGGACTCGCGGCCACGCCGAGTGCGGTGTCCCGGTAGCAGCAGGGAAGCCCTGGGCGTCCCGACGCTGAGCTGCGACGCTGGCCCCGAGAGATGGTGTTGCCGGCGTGGCCCGCTGTGTAGCCGGCGCTCGCCATGTCGACAAGGAGCCAGGACCCGGCCGCGGTGCCCCTGGCCGGCTCGAGCGGAACCCAACAGCGCCGGTTCGCGGGTAGATCCACCGAGCGCTCGGCCTCTCCTGACGGTGAGTGACCCGTCTCTTGACGCCCGGGCCCGCGTCCGCCGCTCGAGTACCGAGAGTTCCCCCGGACGCCTGGATATACCGGGCACGTATGTCCAGGCACCCGCAGTTCACGAGGACTCTGCTTTCTGCCCAACGGTCCACCTTTGTTCAGGGTGCTGACCAGGCGGTCCTTCTCCGCTAGAAGGTGCTGGCCCCTTCTGCCTCCACCCCGTGCGCCTCCGAAAAGATCGGTTTTCTATCAGTGTGATCCCCTGGGTGGCACACTGGCCCTGGGCTCAATTGCTTCAGACGTTCAGTGCAGTAAGGCCTTCGTCTGAAAAAGGTCCTCGATCGACCGCCTAATTTCAGCAGCCGAAGGAGCCTGTTATCTGGTAACGGAAAGAACTCGGTGCAAGTGGAACACGTAAGAACTTGTGATGGTCTGCACTTTCTCGCGACAGGCACGCAGCCAGGTGAATGTTTGTCGGTGAAAAGTTGCGAATATCGGTAGTTGATCATCTTGAAAACCTCCCTACCCTACACTGAATCATAAAGATTGCCGAAACATACGAAAACGCCCGACACAAATGAGGTATCAAACCTAGATCTCAACTGCGTTTGAATCCTCGTCTGTCTCGTACGTTTTGATCATTTGTACGTGCATATACCACCAGCAGTAAACGTGTGTGGTTATCCATTGGTGTGTGTGTGAGATGGCATTACTTAATGGCGTTTTTTTCCACACGCTCGCATTTAGGGATATCTTCCCCATCGGAAGTGCATTTACCGAATGCGACCCGCTAAGAGCTTGTAGAGTGGAGTGTTTTTGTTTTTTGTGCCAAAGTGTTGTGCTTAGAAATCAGTGCTGCCTCCAGGAAAGTGTGTTTTTCTTTTTGTGGCGGTATGTCTCCTTTCAAAAGAGTACTGAGTAAAGTTCGAGTCATTTCTAATGACCTTGCCACCACTTCTCACTTTCCAACTTGCTCAAAATAATTATCCACCAGGACAGAGCCGCCGTACCGCGGCACTAAGGTTTCCTCAGCCCCTGCTTGCGGATGCCTGCACCGCTCAATATTCCGACGATCCTGGTCGCGTTTTTCTTCACTTCTATTATTTTTTCAGATTTTCTCCTTGAAGGCTGGCTCCCCCTTACGCGTGTTTGAAGCGACCCTCAGAAGCGAGAAACGGTAGCGTCTTTGTGGGTAGCAGCGTCCAAAATCTGGGATCTGAGCGTCATTCCCTGTCGCGCGCCGCAGCAGCAGCCTCTAGAATTTCCCGCGTTGCCTCTCCTTCCCACTTCCCCCCTCCCCCCGTCGTCTTTGAGGACAACGCTCACGCTTAGATGAATACGGCACGTGCGAGGAGGCATGAATTTCTTGGGGAAGGCTGCGTCGTCTTTGTCGATTCGCATCTCACGTGCGTGTACAAACTCATTCTCCATTTTTGTTTTCTCTCCTCTAGGAAAAAAAAAAATAAAATAAAATGTGAAGAAACGCACGAGAAAGAGCAAGGCAACTTGACGATCAGCCATTCTCTCAAGCAGAAACGGAGGGAAAGACCAGAGTTTTAAGATTAAACCGCCTTCACCGTCTCCTTTTTTTTTTTCTTTTTTTTTTTTTTTTTGTTTAAGCTTCTTTTATGTTTTCCTTCTTTAACCCCATTGATTACTCTTTCTTCCGAGACTTGACGAGGTTCTGTTCTCGTTGCTGCAACCCTTGTTTTCGTTCTAATGAGATTTCGTTTAAGCTCGACTCGTCTCCGTTCAAGAGGCCTCTATGGAGCGGAGCGAACGCGGAAGCGGCGAAGGGAACAACGCGATGCTTTGTTTACTCCTCGTAGCATCGGGAGGTTAGTGCCCCTCAGATTGGGAACCCGCATCGTACACGTCTACGTTGAGGCGCGTAAGCAGGTCGGTGAAAGTGAGGCTGTAACTCAGGGAATCTTGCATGTCTTTCTCGCAGTAACAATACAAATTAATTAGTAGTGTAGTTGTTTATGCGGCGGGAGGTTAGTCTCCCTGAATATGGCGACACTGTTTCCCGCTGTGGATGAGCAATTTAGCCAGTGTTGTACAACCGCTTGCCTAGGGTCTTTAACGTGCGTTACGCAGTACTGATACGCGACCGCACGCCGGTACAATGCTCGAAACGGGCAGAGGTGGGAATTGAGTCCAGGATCCCTGGATTCTGCAGCGCGAGCTTTCGCTCCACGTGCTCCGAGCTGGTTTGCGCTAACCCACTCGGCCACTGATCCTCCCATTTCGCGATAATGATGCGGGGAGGCACTTGAGAATAATTGGATACTGTACAAGAAAAGAAAAAGGTCTGGACCCTTCACTTTTGGGGCGGTGTTCATGCACTCGCCTGCCGTAATGGCGACAATACTCTCCCGGTGTGTCGTTCTCGGAGATAACGTTTTCTGGTTTCCTATGCGGTCATGGGTTCTAGTAGGAAACCCAACCCCGGGGGCGCAGTTAAGAAGAAGCAAATCAGCCGGTTTCTATATTCGAAAACACCCAAAGAACAAGGGATAGCTTTCTTGGGAACAAGACATTGCCTATTTTGAAAAAGAAGCAGGACGAAATTCGATTGTAAACAGTTTGCTGGCACACGCTGCGATCGGCAACAACAATCTGGGCTCGCAGGAGCTTGGTAGAAGAATAGATGTGTTCACGAAGGTTGTTATTTTTTGTTTTGTTTTGTGTGTGCGGGTAAAATGTAATGTCGGAGCCACCGGCTGGAATGCTGTCTTGGTAGCATGTTTTGTCCGTGTTTACTCACCAAAACATCGCGTCTGGTCAAAGTTCCAAGTCACTTCCGAGCAATTAACTGGGCTGCTATAGAAGTCAGCCGTTTTACAGACTCAATCTAGAATCGGTTTGTTAAGATGAGACATGCAAAGAAGCAAAATAAATAAACGAAAGGTCTTCTTCGACTGAAAGATTTTCGAGCAAGGAAAATGCCCCACTATTGCAGTTGGAAAGTACCGTACGACCTCTGGTGCAGCGGAGGCGCTCTCGTGCTACCCGTCCTCGATATTGCGGCCTTCTTTGCATACCCTCAGGTGAAGAGAAACCCAGTCTACGAGAAGCTAAGCTCGCTGGTCTTCGCGCTCTCAAAAAGAAAGTCCACGCACGCCGGCTCTCCGAAGTCACGCACCATAGGCTGCGCGCCCAGGCCAGCGTAACGGAGCATAAAAAAGAGGATCCAATTTTACGTCACTTCTTTCTGTTCTTTGAAATGTTTATAAAGCAACGTCGAACGTAGCCCGGCGAAACGAAAGGGAAGAGCCAAAATAACGGTGGGTCGTTGAGGCACTGGGGAGAAACGCGTGGAGGAAGTCGACCTGGTGCCTCCTTACGCTCATCTCTTTTTTGGTTTCTTACGACCGGCTATAAAGCAAGTCGGTCCCGGTCAGTAGCGTGCAAAGAACGAAGCGCGCCCGGGCCGCCGTTCAACGTTGCTTGAATCTCCCTATATACGGGCGCCCCCAGTCACTCCCAGCCCGCCCCCTCCTGCGTAGTACGAGTCCCTCGAAGGAACCCTCAGAACGAACCTGCTTCAACTACTCGAGGTTCCATGCACTACGTATACGTCCGAGTCGGGACGTGCGGTGGAGTTGAATTGAGATCGTGCGAGCAGGGCGGCGCGTCTTAAAAGGGGCCCGAGCGACGAGGCTTGTTCGTGTGGCCGCCGCAGGTCGATGATGAGCTTCGTGTCCTGTGTCGGAAACTCCAAATCCGGTTCGGGGGCTTCCGGAATCTTGATTTGCATGTTTCCACACGGCGGCGATTCACGGTTACTGCAATTGAAGGGCAGGGAGAGCGGGCTGCGCGTGTGTGGGAGGATGGCGACGAAGTTGGTCGTGTTCCAGCTTGGAGCGGTTCCCTGCGCTCGCAATGAAACCTGAGCTGCATGGTTTTCGCGAAAGCTCTGAATAGTGAAACCATGACCGCAACTGCATGTAGGGCTCAGCTGGAATGGAGAGACCGACACGCCCAATGTTCGCATGAAAAGGCCCTCGGATGGCTGCGGACCCTCCCCCCATATTTGAACCATTGCCCCCATGTTGATTTGTATACATATATTAATGAACCGTCCTCATCTGGGCCGTTCCTCACTTGTTTGGGACGTGAGGCCCCCCTCTCCTAATTGCATTATTTTGTTCCTATAAATATTGAAGTTTGTCGATAATAAATCCGACGCTGACCAAATTTATCTTGAGAGACGAAGTGTTATATTTTTGGTGAAGCAGCGGGCTTCTGAAACAGTATGGCACTTTCGTATGTTTCCATTTTCTTAGCTTTACAATAACAATACGCTAAAACCTTTTTACATCCTGAGGGATGTAAATCAGCTTGTCCCAGGGCTAAGACCCTAAGGTTGCTACAATAACCCCCTTAACACCAATACATAAAATTCTGGCGCTCTTGTCAACCCTCTACAGATGTTTTTTTTGTTACTATCAAGAAGTTTAGAGGCAACCTGTACCATATGCGAATCTCATATGCACAAAAATTCTACATATAAACGCAGCAAATCATGCACGAGAGATGAATCTCGATCCTATACTAACTGTTCCACCGCCATATTAAACTCTATAATTCAAAGACACTTCGCAGGCGACCGCCTCAGTTACAAAGATAACAATTATTTTGCTTTGTTTACGTCAGTATATCACGTAAAACATACAATATCAAACTCCAATGAATGGATCTCTAAGTAAAAAAGAATAGGTACAAGCAAACATTATTTGACATTGCCGGTAAAACTACCTCAATTAAAGCTTCTTTTGAAGGGCGAACATGCTTCAATAAGGGTCTTCGCCTCACTTTTCTATAGCACACTTTTCCATACCCCTTTCACATCCTTTGAAATATGGTGTTTCATGTAACAACACCATATTTTCTTATTAGAATGGGTATAATTCAAATGAGGGTTACCATATACATGTAACGCTCTGGATCTGGCCTTTCACACCCTTAATGCTGTAAAATTTCTTAGTGTGAACTGGTAACATTG